ATACTTGAAAGTGTGAGGGTGTTTAGCTAAGGTGGCAATACCAAAACCAAAAAGAGTTAAAATTGGACCCAAGACCGTTGATTGTATTTTCATAAGATATGCAAACAACAGCAGTACCTATCGGTTTTTAGTGCATAAAAGTGAGAACACAGAGATTCATGTCAATACAATTATCGAGTCAAGGAATGCATCATTTTTTGAAAATGTGTTTCCTTGTAAATTGACACAAGAGCCTAAAAGGACCTATGATACTGCTTTTGATAATGATCAAGGACAAGTTGAGGAAAATCTAGAGGAAAAAGTCGAGGAGGAACCCAGACGTAGTAAAAGGGCTAGGACAGAAAAATCTTTCAGTTCTGATTTCTTAACGTACTTACTAGAAGAGCAGCCTCGAACTTTCAAAGAAGTAATGTCCACTCCTGAAGCTCCTTCCTGGAAAAAAGCTATCAATAGTGGAATTGAATCAATCCTGCAAAATCATACATGGGAATTAGTGGATCTTCCACCAGGCTGTAAGCCTCTTGGTTGCAAGTGGATTTTTAAAAGGAAGATGAAGCCCGATGGTTCAATTGATAAATATAAGGTGAGACTTGTAGTTAAAGGTTATAGGCAAACTGAAGGGGTAGATTATTTTGATACTTGCTCACTTGTAACAAAAATAACGTCTATTCAAATGTTAATAGCTATTGCAGCTTTGTATAATCTTGAGATCCATCAAATGGATGTTAAGACTGCATTCTTGAATGGCGATTTGAATGAGGAAATTTACATGGAACAACTAGAAGGGTTCATGGTTCCAGGGCAAGGGAAAAAAGTGTGCAAACTTGTGAAGTCTCTTTATGGTCTAAAACAAGCACCTAAACAATGGCATGAAAAATTTGACAATGTAATGATATCAAATGGATTTAAAATTAATGAATGTGATAAATGTGTTTATGTGAGAAACACGGAAAAGGGATATGTCATTGTTGGCCTATATGTAGATGATATGTTCATCCTTGGTAGTAATAATGAAATGATCAAAGCTACCAAGAAAATGTTGAACTCTAAGTTTGACATGAAAGATATGGGAGTAGCAGATGTTATACTTGGAGTAAGAATTACAAAAACATCTGAAGGATATACCTTGTCTCAAAGACATTATGTTGATAAAATACTTGAGAAATTTAACAAACATGACGATCGCCTTGCTAAGACCCCTATGGATGCTAATCTTCATTTGATGAAGAATATGGGTGAAGGGATATCACAAGTAGAAGCTCCCGAATCATCGGAAGCTTAATGTATCTCATGAACTGCGCACGTCCAGATTTAGCATATGCAGTTAGCAGATTAAGTAGGTACACAAGCAATCCAAGAACAGACCACTGGGCAGCAATAGTTAGGGTACTGAGATATCTAAAGTATACTCGAAACTATGGGTTGAACTATATGAGATATCCAACAGTGTTAGAGGGTTATAGTGACGCTAATTGGATCTCAGACACTAAAGACTCCAAGTTTACTAGTGGCTATGTCTTTACCCTGGGAGGTGCAGCAGTCTCATGGAAGTCATCCAAACAGACATGCATTGCAAGGTCCACAATGGAGTCTGAGTTTATTGCTTTAGATAAAGCAGGTGAAGAAGGAGAGTGGCTTCGTCACTTTCTAGAGGATATGCCAATGTGGCCAAAACCTGTGCCAGCCATTTGCATTCATTGTGATAGTCAAGCAACAATGGCAAGAGCACAGAATAATATGTATAACGGTAAGTCTCGTCATATTCGACGTAAACACAATACTGTTAGGCAACTGCTCTCAAATGAAATTATCTCCATTAAGTACATAAGGCCAAAAGATAATATCGCGGATTCGTTAACCAAAGGTTTGACCATAGAGCAAGTGTTAAGATCTTCAAGGGGAATGGAATTAAACCCTACTAACTAAAGAGTCGTCTTAATGGCAACCCAACCTAACTGACTAGAGATCCCAAGGTCTAGGTTCAAAGGAACAACCGAATTATATGTGACTCATCAGTATCACTAAGGGGGATTTTTTGCCCTTTCCTATGATGACATAGTGATGTCTGCAGCGTTAATCAGGTTAAGCTTTGCTTTTAATGACTTTCATATCTTGGAAATTCAAGTGGGGTATAGCAGAATACTCTTAATAAAAATCACATATATAAGTGTGAACTGGGCCGGTTCTATGAGAATTAGGAAAAGGCTGAATTCTCTAGAGCACTCAGGAAAACCAGGAATTGTCCAGGGCCAAAATGGGCACAACCGATAGAACCAGATTGTGTATGAAAATAAAACTGTGTGACAGACTGTTGTCTCGGTTTACACCAATGGAAGAATAGTTCAAGACATCATGTTCACTAATCAGCCAGTAAACCCGATAGTCTTTCACAAGGGAAGGTTCAAAGCCAAAAGCTACCTATCATTTGCAGGATATTTTCAGTTTTGTACTCTTAGCGTCTTCATTTTGTTGCATATTCATTTTCAATTTCATTCATGTGGGGGATTGTTAGAGAAAAATGGTTTATCACCGTTAATTTCCGGTAATTTTGAGTTATCATTAATGTAGGACCCACACCTCGATTTTTGCGGGTCCGAGTGGCAACACGTTCCTTGCCATGTGATGAACAAGAATATATACTCGGGTGGTCAAAACCATTTTCGAGTGAATGAGAAATTGATACCGAAGTGAGCCTCATGAACATGAATATGTTTGGTGTGGTTCTTTTGAGTTGGTATCTAAACCTTGTCCCACATAGAAAACATGGAAAAGTTTCTATAACTATGTATGTTGTAAGTTACAGACCTTAGGTTAGGCCCCAAAGGGTACCCAAGTTTTGTAGGAGGAGAAGTCATGGCCAAACCCAAAACCACCACCACACGTGAGTGCCGCCGTCCGTCCGGCCAGGGCGGGTGTGGGTCAAACCGGTCCTTACTTTTTGCTCCAAAATTATTTGAAATGTTTCGAATAATTTCTGTGGGAAAAATTCAAATACCGAAATTTTGAATTCAAAATTTTCGGTTATAATTCTTCTCCATCTCCGACCAGTCGTGTCTCCAGTCTATCGACTGTTCATCATAACGTTCTTCTGTTCCGGAAATGGCACTTCACTGCCTATATATATAGCAACCCTTCATTCCAAAAAAAAAAAAAAAACAATAACAGTTTTTTTGTTCCTTTCCTTCTATCTTCTCTCTTCATTCCTTCCTTCGTTCTTCATTTTGCATCTTGTGTGAGTTTGAAAAACGCAGTCCGGTTCGCTATACAAACAGTTCGCTGTGCTACATCTGTTTGGGGTGATTCTTGAATCTTGGAGGCAGGACATCTGTTATTATCGAGCACCTTAGGAGAGGACGAATTTCTGTCTTAAAGACACAGTGTTCAAACATTGGCCTCAATTACAAGTTTGTTCTTAAGTTTCATTCTACATAAAGTTGTGAGTTATCTCTTGTTCTGTGTTTAATTATTTATTATAATTTAATTATTCTGATAATTTAATTTTTTATCGAAAAATATTTCCAACACCAAGTCAATGAAATTTTAAAAAATATTATAGTTTTTTTTTTTAAATTAATAACACATTGACAAAATTATTAAAATTCCCATATGTATTGTGACTTTTTTTTCAAGTAGTGTTTCCATTGATCATACGCATTGTTCATGTGCAGTTCTTGGCCCATGAAATAACTTCTCCATTCCCACAATGTTTATTTTCTCTCTTATTTATTTATTATTGTATATGTGATAGACAACTTTAGTTATAGAAATATCACTATAACAAATAAGAGTTTGGAAAAAAATTTATCCTTAAAAGTAAAAATTTTGTTGTAAAAAAATTTGGAGATCAATTCTTATAGTTGTGAGAATAGTCATTAAAAACTCATCCTAAAAAGTCAAAAAAATTGACTTTTAGCAACAAAACTTAAAAAATAATGCAAACAAATGCACTTTTAAGAACAAAAAAAAAAATTGGTCAAAAAATGGTGTTTTTTTAGACACAAAAAATTGGTTCCAAACAATAATAATCCATCACTAAATGTTCAATTTCATCGCTAAAAATACAACAATGACTCTTTTAATAACAAAAATATTTCATTCTTAATAATGACTTTTGTCCCTTAAATCTTATTTTGTTTTACTGATAGACACTTCATTATTAACTCTTCTGATGTGCGCGAGCATGAGGAGGATGGACAGTTATTTGAGTTGTATCCTAGAATTGTTTTTTGTGTGCTATAAGAGTGTCTCTAACGCTTCATCAAATCTGTTATCAAATTTAAATTTGATGAAAATGCTTAAAACGTTATAGAGTGTCTCCAACGCTTCATCAAATCTGTTATCAAATTTAAATTTGATGAAAATGCTTAAAACGTGAGCTCTAATATCCTTTCATCAAACTAATATCAAATAGAGGGAGAGTTAATTTTTTCGTCAAATCAAGAGAGTTTTATCTTTTCATCAAATTTGTAGGTGAACGTTGGACCGGACATCTTCTCGGACAATCTCTTCCTTGCAAAATTGCCCATAAAGGTGTTGGTTAATTTACACAAATCGGTCTACCGACCAGACATCCACCCGGTCGTCCTCTCAGTCAACTGGTGCTTTGATAAAAAAATGCAAATTGTCCGTTGACACGCTCGATATTAGATGAAATTTTTACTCAAATTTGATGACAAAAAAAAAACGAATAAATGTTGAAGATATATACTCTAACATTCGTGTGCTAGGACAGATATAACAACAATTTTAGGACAACAACTACATATCTCTCACAATCCGGAAAGTCTATAAACCCAGAAGAAAAATCAGAAATTTATCTAAAATTTCAAATGTAGAGTGTAGATTTAATCTTCTCACTATGGGGCCGGGCCAATTTATAAATGAATCTTGGACTAAAATTATAAATTATTTTCTGAGGATGTAGAACTATTGTGCTGCTTTACATTTAATTTACAAACTTGGTATAGTGTGGATTGATTTTCTATAATACCAAAATAAAGGTACTCAAACCAAACTATAGCCGGAGGGACACTGCAAGATGATCCGGCAGCTGTGTGGAACCCTGAAAATGTCTCCAACGTGGCTGGGTTTAATCAAGCACTGAAGCCATTGCTTGAAAAGCTACGAAGCCAAGCGGCACAAGGAGGCTCTCTGCGTAAATTTGCTACGGGGATGACGAGTGCAGATACGTTTCTGACGATATACGGGCTTTTGCAGTGCACGCCTGATTTATCTCAGCAGCAATGTATTGATTGTCTAGATAGGGCCACTAGTTTCATTTCTGACTGCTGTAATGCAAGAAAAGGAGCTAGAGTTCTAGCTCCGAGCTGTAATCTTCGGTATGAGCTGAACCATTTCTATAACGACACTCTGGTTCCACCTCCATCTCCACGTCCAGGTATTTTGCCAATCAAAAAGAAAAAAAATTATTTTGCTTTCAACAAATGATATGTATCTGTATTGATAATGCAGTCATATATCAATTAAGAGAAAAGTTAGGGATCATGAAAATTTTTTCAAAAAAATAATCATGAAAGATTTATGATTCTTGGATTACCTTGATTAGTGTGTGATATTTTATTCTTAGTGTAATACAAGGATCACAAAGCTTTCATGATTATTTTCATAAAAGGTTTTTCATGATACCTACCATTGCTGATCAATTAATATGCTAATAAACAACAAAATAAATAATATCTAAAATCTTATTACGTAACAACTAATACCATGCATAACAGTTGATAATTAAAACCCCTTTTTCATATTGAATAGTTGAAGCATATATAACCACCTTCTTCACCTCCAAATTGTAAGAAGCGGTGCCCTTGCATTTTGTTACATGTGTTATTTTAGTTTTTACCGTTTCAATTGGCTCAATTTTGATTCTTAATTTTAAATTTTACATTAATTTAGTCTAATTGATAACGTTGTTAGGATTTTTGACAAAAAAAATTTATTGAATTAGTTAAGGTTAAGTCACTGAATTGATCAAGTTTACAATTTTGTCCCTAAAAGTAAGGCAAATTATAGAAATGGTTCCAATAGTTTACCCGTGTTTTCATTTTGGTCCATGTACTTCTAATTGTATCAAAGTTGCCCCCATAGTTTGGTTTTTGGCTCGAAATGGTCCAGTAGTTAACGGTGGTTAGACATTTGGACAGAAAAGCGGGCCAATTTTGACTTTCTTGAGTATTTTTAGATCAATTCAATTCGTTTTCTAATATCATCACTCAAATTTAACTCATTTAATAGATGTTTTATTTAATTTCATTATTTAATTATTATTATTATTTAAAATAAATTTACTTAAAATTTTAATTAAAAAATAACATATATTTTTATTGATATTTTATTTATTTAATTTTTAAAAATAAATTTATTTAATTTTGTAAAAGATAAAATAAAACAAATTTTTATTTAATCTAGCTAAAAATAATTAAAATATTAAAGATATATTTAATATTGCTATTACTTAATAAACAATTGAAAAATGATAAAATAGTCTTTTGCACTTTTATCCTTATCCAGTTCGTCCATCCAAACATTAAATTCACTAAAAATAAACACTTCACACATTAATCCCAAAGGATACCAATCCCATGGAAATAATCTCACCCCCCTAGGATTGTTTAGTCCCTCATATGAGGGATATGGAGTCCCTCATATAAATTATAAATTATAATTATAATTTTAATTCTAATATAATATAATATAATTTAATTATATTTTTAAATTAAATTAAATTTAAAATTTAATTTAATTATAATTAAATTATAATATATTTTTTAAATTAATTTAAATTTAATTTTATTTAAATTATATTTTTAATTTAATATAATTTAAAAAATATATTTTTTTATTAATATATATATTAAATTAAATAAAAAATAGAAAATAGAAATTATAAATTTAATTTAATTTAATTAAAAATAATAAATTAAACATTATGGCCTTATAAATTATAATTTATAATTTATAATTTATATGAGGGACTCCATATCCCTCATATAAGGGACTAAACAATCCGGGGGGAGGGGTGTGATTATTTCCATGGGATTGGTATCCACGGGGATAATGTGTGAAATGTCTATTTTACTATCATGATATTACTTAGTAAACAATTAGAAAATGGAGGATTAGAATCCATCAGACTTGAATCTTGTGAATCTCCCAGACTATTTGGTTGGATTCGATGTGTATTCCGTGTTTGTTTTCTCATGTGATTAGATATCTAAAAATGACTATTTTTAGTAAATCTGATGTTTGGTTAGACGAACTAGATAAGGATAAATGTGCAAGAGACTATTTTATTATTTTTCAATTGTTTACTAAGTAATAGCAATATTAAACATGTCTTTAATATTTTAATTATTTTTAGTTAGATTAAATAAAAATTTATTTTACTTTATTTTTTACACAATTAAATAAATTTATTTTTAAAAATTAAATAAATAAAATATCAATAAAAATATATGTTATTTTTTTAATTAAAATATAAATAAATTTATTTTAAAAAAAAATAATAATTAAATAATGAAATTAAATAAAACATCTATTAAATGAGCAATATTAAACATATCTTTAATATTTTAATTATTTTTAGCTAGATTAAATAAAATTTTATTTTATTTTATTTTTTACACAATTAAATAAGTTTATTTTTAAAAATTAAATAAATAAAATATCAATAAAAATATATGTTCTTTTTTTAATTAAAATTTAAATAAATTTATTTTTAAAAATAATAATTAAATAATGAAATTAAATAAAACATCTATTAAATGAGTTAAATTTGAATGCTGATATTACAGAACAAATTGAATTGATCCAAAAACACTCAATAAAGTCAAAATTGTTCAAGAAAGTCAAAATTGGCCTGCTTCTCCGTCCAAATGTCTAACCACCGTTAACTATTGGACCATTTCGAGTCAAAAACTAAACTGCAGGGGAAAAATTGATGCAATTAGAAGTACAAGGACCAAAATGAAAACACGGGTAAACTATAGGAACCATTTTTGTAATTTGCTCTACTTTTAGGAACAAAATTGTAAACTTAATCAATTCAGTGACTTAACCTCAATGAATTTTTTTGTCAAAAATCCTAACAACGTTATCAATTAGACTAAATTAATGTAAAATCTAAAATTAAGAATCAAAATTGAGTCAGTTAAAACGATAGGAGCTAAAATAACACATGCAACAAAATGTAAGGGCGCCGCTTCTTACAATTTGGAGGTGAAGAAGGTGGTTTTATATGCTTCAACTATTCAATATGAAAAAGGGGTTTTAATTATCAACTGTTATGCATGGTATTAGTTGTCATGTAATAAGATTTTAGATATTAAAATCTTGGCTCAATTTTAAGAAGCGGTGCCCTTACATTTTGTTGCATGTGTTATTTTAGTTCCTATCGTTTCAATTGGCTCAATTTTGATTCTTAATTTTAGATTTTACATTAATTTAGTCTAATTGATAACGTTGTTAGGATTTTTGACCAAAAAAAATTCATTGAATTAGTTAACGTTAAGTCACTGAATTGATCAAGTTTACAATTTCGTTCCTAAAAGTATGACACATGTCACTCATAAGCACATTTTACCATTAAAAAAATATGCTAACAATTAGAAGCAATTGGACAAATTTGAGGCAAAATATAAAAATAAAAAATTGACGATCAAAATTGATTCAATTGAAATTACAAAGACTAAAATGACATAAGGGCTAAAGTATCGGGACTAACAATAAAATTTGCTCTTTTTAATAAAATATTTTTTTAATTATTTGTTGTGTTTATTTTTTGACAGTTACAAATTAAATTGGTTTCTTAAAACAAATTCAGTTACAAATTAATAATGGGTATAATTACTATTTATTATTATCTAAATAATGAGAGAGTTTATTTATAATGTAACACTAATGCTATATCTGTGTGTGACTTGCGGAGGGAAAAGGCCCATAACTTGATTGGTACATTATGCTATATACAAAAGTTCATTCCATATTATCCGTTTAGATTATTCGAAGAATGCTCTTCACTATTTTTATGAGTTTACAGATAATTTGATTCGTGACTTGATTCAAGTATTTAGTGATCATATTCATATCCCAAGCCTTGTAGCTTAGTGGAATAGGAGCAAGACATAACTGCTTGCAAAGAGATGTTGGGGGGTTCAACTCCCACTACAACATATAAGAGTTTTAGAGATCAATTTTTTGGTCTTTAAAAGTAAAAATTTTGTTACAAAAGACATTTAGAAACCAATTTTTATAGTCGTGAGGAATCGCTAAAAAGTCATCTTAAAAAGTCAAAAACAAGGCTTTTAGTGACAAAATTTAGAAAATGTCACTAATAAATAGACTTTTAGAAACAAAATAATTTGGTCTCAAAATGATTTACTTTTTGAAACAAAAAATTTGGTCCTAAAATGATAATAATTCATCACTAATGTCTAATTTTCGTTGCTAAAAATATAATGGCAACACTTTTCCTAACAAAAATATTTGATCCTTAAAAAATAATTTTACTCCTAAATTTTAGTTTCTAAAACTTTAATTTTTCTGTGCTGTCCCCCTGTTAATTTGACAACTCATCATTAATTGTTGCCAATCAAAAAAACAAAAAAACTTTATAGTGGTTATGAACACTAAACGAGAAACGCTATCAGCAAATTAAATTTTATGTATGGGTGAGCAGCGGATATACCGATTCGTCAAAACCGACCGAACCGAACCGAACCGATCCATCGCATTTTGGACGGAAGCGTGATGACGAGCAGACGGTTGCGGATTGATTTTCTCCAATCCGCCAATTTGGCGGACGGATGGCGGATTTGAGATTCCTTTGTCCGCAACCAAACCGCGAGCACCCCTAATAATTTATAAGACTTTATGTTTAAATATTTTGTTTGTGTTTTCAATTGAAAAGGAGCTTAAATATTCTGTTGAAAAAAAGTTTTCAACTTGAATATATTTTTTGAATTGAAAAAAATAAACATATTATTTATCTATATTTTTTGGTTTTTAAATTTAATTCTAAAAATATGATATATGCTAGTTGGTTTTTGTTTTCAAAAACATATATAGATGTAACAATACAGAGATATACAATCTCTACTATTGCTCTGTTCATGGTTTTGGTGGTTTGAATTATTATTATATTTTAAGAACCACAGATTGTAATACTTTATGTGGATGAATCATGCTGTGATTGTAATATGGGGATGAGCCATACAGTGATTATGATATTCTAAAGTTTCAAACTTTCTTTTTTTGGATGAGACATACAGTGATTGTAATAGTTTTTTAAGTCATTGACTGTAATACTTTCTCTCTTTTTTTTCTTTTTTTTTTTTTTTTTTTTTTTTTTTTTTTTTTTTTTGAGGAAGTACACAAGTTGAA